CCTAGTGATGGCCTTCGGCCTAAAGAACTCAGGGGCCACTTACACCCGGATGGTGGCCCGAGTCTTTCAAGCCGTCCTAGGGCGCACCATGGAGGCCTATGTCGACGACATGATCATCAAAAGCAAGCAATCTTCCAGCCATGCCGACGACCTCCGGGAAATCTTCGCCATCATGCAGAAGTTCAACCTTCGGCTAAACCCGAAGAAGTGCACCTTTGGCGTCCAAGGGGGCAAATTCTTAGGCTACATGGTGAGACGAAGGGGTATTGAGGCCAATCCCGAGAAGATCCAGGCCATCATCAACATGGAGCCCCCACGCAACGTGAAGGAAGTTCAACGGTTGACGGGCCACCTGGCAGCCCTCAACCGCTTTCTATCTAAATCAGCGGAGAAGTCTCTACCCTTCTTCCAAATCATGAGGAAGACGGCTGGCTTTCTATGGACTCCAGAATGCCTGGGGGCTTTCGACGAGCTCAAACGGTATCTACCTTCACCCCCTGTGCTCTCCAAACCAAATGTAGGGGAGACCCTCTATCTCTACCTTGGGGTCAGCCCGGCAGCCATCAGCTCCGTACTCATCCGGAAGGAAGACGACATCCAACATGCCATCTTCTATGTAAGCAAGACCCTAAGGGAGGCCGAGCTCAGGTACTCTCCTGTGGAAAAAACGGTGTTAGCCATCGTTTGGACCGTCACGAAGTTGGGCCACTACTTTCAGGCTCATCCGGTTCAGGTCCTCACTCATCAACCCCTCGGCTCCCTCATGAGGAGCCCCACCAGCTCCTCCCGCATGGTGAAATGGGCTATCTTCTTGAGCTAGTACAACATTGACATCCGTCCGAGGCCTGCCATCAAGGGCCAAGCCCTGGCGGACTTTGTGACGGAGTGTACCGCAAGGGCAGCCACAGACGGGGAGCCCTCGGCTACCTCGGACGACTGGTGGACCCTCTACACCGACGGCTCCTCCGCGACCAAAGCATGCGGGGGAGGGGTAGTCCTCATTACTCCCGAGGGCTTCAGAGCCTACTATGCAATCCGCTTCTCCTTCAAAGTCTCCAACAACGAGGCCGAGTATGAGGCCCTCCTATGTGGCCTTCGGCTGGCTGCCAACATGAAGGCTCGGCAGATCCATATCAAATGCGACTCCAAGTTGGTCGTTGGCCAAATCTCCGAGGAGTATGAAGCCAAGGAGGGAAGAATGAAACAGTACAAGGAAGCGGCCAAGGAGTTGCTTAAGGTATTTGAGGCACACTCTCTCACTCAAATACCGAGGGCTCAGAACTCCGAGGCCGACATACTATCTAAGCTCTCGGCCGACTCCCCCGAGCACATCTCCAAGATTGCTAAAATTGAGGAACTCAGTCTCTCAAGTATCCATGCAAGCCCCGTCATGAACATACAACAACGCCAAGAGGACTGGATCTCAGATATCACGACCTTCATCTCCACAGGGCAGCTACCCGAGAACGAGACCCGCGCTAAACTAGCAAAGCTGAGGGCTCCTAGCTACACCATCGAAGACGAAAGGCTCTACAAACGGTCTTACAACGGCATGCTACTTCGGTGCCTTCATCAAGTCGAAGCCGAGGTCGCAATGGAGGAAGTGCACAGTGGCACTTGCTCAGCTCACCAGGGACCCTTCTCCATGTCCCGAAGGTTCATTCTCCAGGGCTACTTCTGGACGACCATGGCCAGAGATTGTGCTGACCTTGCCCGAAGGTGCACCGCATGCCAACATTTCCAGAAAGCCCCCGGCAGGCCAGCGGTCAACTATGCCCCCATCAGCACATCCGTCCCCTTTTCTCGATGGGGGATAGACCTTGTGGGCCCTCTGCCGAGGGGTACCTCCAACAATAGATACATCATTGTGGCCATCGACTACTTTACCAAGTGGGTGGAGGCTGAGCCCCTCGCCAGTATCACAGAGGCGAAGTGCCGTCACTTCGTCCTCAAGAATATCCTCACAAGGTTTGGCGTCCCCCATCAGATCATCTCCGACAACGGAACACAATTTGAGGCAGCCCCCTTCTGTGCCCTTCTGGAGGCATGGGGCATCAAACACACCTTCTCCTCCGTTGCCTACCCTCAAGGCAACGGGCAAGTAGAGAATGCCAACCGGACCTTGCTCGAGGGCCTCAAAAAGAAGCTGGAGGCCGAGGGCGGTGGCTGGGTGGAAGAACTTCACAACATCCTTTGGGCCTACCGCACCACCCCTCGGCGAGCAACAGGTGAAACACCCTTCTCCTTCTGCTACGGTTTTGAAGCCAAAGCTCCTACGGAAGTCACCCTTCCCACCTGGAGGGTGATCCAATATGACCCCGAGGTCAACGACAGCAACATGGCCCTCGACCTCCACCTCCTTTCAGAACGCCGGGAGCAAGCCTTCATCCGGGCAGAAAACTACCGAAGGCAAGTCAAAGGCTACATCGACGCCAAGGTTCGCACCCGAGAATTCTAAGTGGGGGACTATGTCCTCCGGAGGAGGGAAGCCAGCCAGCCGACCGAGGGAGGCAAAATGGCACCAAAGTTCGAAGGCCCCTACATCATAGCAGCCATCATCAAACCTGGGACTTACAAGCTCAAACGCCCCAACGGGAAAGAGGTCCCTAGGCACTGGAATGTACACCACTTAGTTAAGTTTTATCAATAATGTAAGAGCGGCCAAGCCCTCATAACTAGTGAATGTACTATCCTATGGCCCAAGGCCTCCAATTTTGAAGAATGAAGACACATTCAAGACACCAAGAACAAAACACTTATGAGCGGCCAAGCCCTCATACCAACTACAGGTCCGAGGCCTCACCTCGAGAAGAACCCCCTCCGGCGTCAAGTGCCGAGGGCGAACACCACCAACACCTACGACAACAGTGAAAACACCATGTGTTTTCAATCAAGACCCCTCGGTACCAAGTACCGAGGGTGGGAACTCCCATCACCGACGACAAGAAACACCAAGTGTTCCTACAGAAGACCCTTCGGCACCCAGTGCCGGGGGTACCCATCTCCACCATCATCATCGAAAAAAAAAGAACACCAAGTGTTCCTACACGAGACCCTTCGGCACCCAGTGCCGGGGGTACACATCTCCACCATCAACATCAAAGAGAAGAACACCAAGTGTTCCCACAGAAGACCCCTCGGTTCCCAAGTACCGGGGGTACACAACTCACCCATCAACGTCAAATAGGAGAAGAACACCAAGTGTCCCTACAGGAGACCCCTCGGTACCAAGTACCGGGGAGCTACATATCGAAACTAACACCAAGTGTTGTTTCTAAAGCCGTACCCCACGAGGACACATATACCGAAGGCGCCACCATCGGTGCCGGCGGCACGTAGTGCCCCCGGCCATTTGCAACTAGTGTGCAAATGAAAACCCTTCCTTGAAACGCTTTCCGCGTCACTACCCCCAGGGTATGACAGGCATGAGAAATGCCCAGGATTCGACTTTCAAAAACGGAACGCTTTTCGCGTCATCACCCCAAGGGTATGACAGGCACGAGAAATGCACAGGATTCGACTTCCAAACCAAAACGCTCCCCGCGCCACCACCCCAAGGGTGTGGCAGTCCACGGACTATGTCTAGCGCCGAGGGGACGACTTTCAAAAATGAGGCGCTTTCCGCGCCATCCCCCAAGGGGAGGCAGGTTACAGACCATCATATCTGGTACCCAGGAAACGACCCTCGATCCCCTCGGAACTCGGAAGGTTAACCCGAGGGAGGAGAACCATTGGTGTATTCTGATGGTCTCCTGATAGGCCCAGCCTTACCAAGAAACCAAGTTTCTTGATGCCTTCCCTTCACCACCAAAAAAAAGGGGGGGTGAAGGGGAGTAGACTCAGCGAGAAATCAAAGAGTACACTCCAACAGATCACAACATGCCGAGGGCTCCCCACGGGAACACCTCCGGTAATTGAAGGCTCCTATTTCCCGAAGGATACTACTCAAACAAATATCATCAAGAAATGGCTAAGTCCACAGCTTGATCACCTCCGGTCACACAAGCACCGAAGGCTTCAACAATACAAAGGGACTGGACTATCCAAAGTCCACTAAACGGTACTTCAAACAAATACCGAGGGCATCTGTTATGCACTAATACCGAGGGCCCTTACCCCATGACAAGGGACACAACTGGCTAAGTCAAACTATACGACTTTTCAAGTGAATGCCGAGGGCACATACTCCTCATCGGCTTTCTTTACAACAACAGGATTCCACACTTTTCCTAAGTCCACACTTTTGGAAAATGACAACAACCGGAGGCTAATATATCACCCGACAACCGAAGGCATTTATTACAAATACTCATACAACACAAGGGCCTCACGATCACCCGAAGGGTCCTATTCATATACCCGGAGGGATCTACATCAGGAAGCTCAACATCAATTTACGATTAGAAAATATTCTAAGTCCTAAATGAGTGGCCCCCGGGCATCTCACAAAAGTGACGCAGAGTCAGAGGGCACCTATCACCCGAAGGCGACACAAGGAAGCAGCACTTAGAAAAAAATTCTAAGTCCTAAAGATTGGGCCCCCGACCCAATCAATATTACAGCTAAGGGAATATGATAGCCGAAGGCTATGCGATACAACAGCACTTAGAAAATTTTCTAAGTCCTACATATTTTTCCCTCGGTCAACTACTCATACATCAAGAAGGGATGCCATCGCCCGAAGGCTCCCAAGGGAAAAGCTACACTTAGAAATCTTTCTGAGTCCTACATATTTCACCCTCATCTCAACTTATGAAGGGACCTAATAGCCGAAGGCTACCTATCAATCAAAGGCTACGGTACACAAGGAATCAACACTGAGGAAAATGTTCTAAGTCCTAAAGATTGCCCCCCCGGCCTAATCAACATTTCAGTTGGGGCTCCACAGTAGCCGAAGGCTACATGACACACTACATTTACAAAAAATTTCTAAGTCCCATTAACATGGCCTTCGGCCATCACTAAACCACCATACATTCATACGTGGGGAAAGCATAAAGGAGAAAGCATACATTCAAACAGAAGGCGCATTCAAATGTGAAAAGCCCGGGGGCAGCATGCATTCACCAAGAACCGAAGTAAGTGCAAAGTTACAAACAGGCTGAAGCCGAAGGATCAATGGTGTTCATTACAAAAGTTTGTTCATAAATTTCTAAGTACAAAATCATTCAACAACCTCAACAGCATCATTCCCCGGGGCGTCCTCTGCAGCCGGCCTCGACGATACCTCCGCTCCGGCCTCAACAACGTCGTCCTCGGCCTCCTTCTTCAGCTCTGTGTCCTCAAGATCGGGCCGTTGTACACCTTCGGGAAGGGATTCACGGACATCAGGCTGCAGGGGAGGAAGGCCATATGCCGAGGGGGAGAAATCCTTTGGCTCAATGCTCAGGTGCCGGGCCATCCTTCGATAGATGAGGGCCTGGGTGAAGAATTCGCCGGCCTCATAATATTCTCTGCCCTTCCTGGCCATCCATTCCCACCCAGGTCCCTCGGCCCATTCATCAACGCGTGCCTCCATAACCGAGGAAACCCACACCTTGCGTCCCTCGGCTCTCCAACCCTCAGCGACGAAAGCATCAACGACCTCCTCCTGAGCTTTGGCGACGGCTAGCGCCTTGGAATCCTCGGCCTCTTTAGCAGCTCTCCTGGCCTCCTCAGCAGCGGCCTCAGCATCAGCCTTGTTCCTTTCTGCAGCCTCCAATTTTAGCTTCATTTGCCGAAGCTCCTCTTCTAGCCTGGCCCCCAGCTTCACCGCCTCTTTGTTTTTGAGAATACACTCCTTCATTTTGGTGTCCTGCTCCGCTTTATGGAGGCGCCATTCTTGAAGCCTCCGGGCCTGTTCGCCGAGGGCCAGACAAGCCTGCAGATCAACAACCAAAACGGTTAAAGGCAATCACGCAAAATGATCAAAGGAAAAGAGGAAGAAAGCCGAGTGAACACTTACAGAGAGGGAGGAGCGGATAATGTGGTCCTCGAGGGCCGCATCATTATAAGCCCCGAGGGCAGCCCTATCCGTCTCAGGGGTTATGCCCCTCAAGATGGCCCCCGGGTCAACAGCGCCGCTGGCCAGAGATGTACCCCTCGGAAGAGAAACATGGAGGACCTCAGGCAGCAACTCCTCTGCCCCCGCCGGCGTTCCATCCGATGGCTTCTCCACATGCACCCCAGAGGCGGGGTGCTCATCAACAATCACGACCGGGGGCTCCTTATCGGTGATATCCCCCTTCTTCGGCTTTTTGGTAGCCGGGGGGGACCCCTTGGCCGCCGCCTTCCTTTTGCTGACAGCGGCATCGCCCTCGGATTTTTTGAAGAGGGTAGCGATGGGCTTCTGGTTGCCCTGTCCCGACCCCTTCGGGTCCTTGTTCTTCAGCCGCGCAAGGCCCTTCACGTTCACCATTGACACGGGGATACCTGCAAAAATACGACAAAGGATTAGGCCGACGGGTCTACAGCGAAGGGACAATGACATCCAAGCAAAACAAAAAAGGACTAAGTACAAAAATCTAAAGCCCTCAACTCCTACCTCCGGCTCCTCCGAAGGCCTTGTTGAAGAGAGGATACTTTTCGTCGGTCTCCCCTATGAAGCGGTACCTTCGGAACCCGAGGGTGTATAAGTCTTCCTCAAGGGTGCAATCTTTGATCGCCACATTCTTATTCTTCCCTTCCGGGAACTTGGCGAGCTTTAGACCGTCTTTCTCGAGGGCAGCACTCCTGATCTTTTCGTGCCTTCGGAATCGATCACGCAGTTCCCTCGGGAATGGGTTCTTGTCCAGCTTCACATAACACCAACGTTCCCTCCACCCTTTGTTTGAAGAAGGGGAGTCGGAGAATAGTTTGAAACGGGCGATCTGCTGCAAATTCGCGTATCCCTCGCCGTTTTCGTGCCCCCCTCGGCACAGGTTAAAGCTCTGGAAGAATAGATCCAGGCTGGGCTTCACCCCTCGGGACTTGCAGAGCTGGAGGAACCCCGCGATGTAGGAGTGGCTGTTGGGCGTAAGCTGGCAGGGGACCAAACCAACAAACCTCAGGTACTCCCGAAGGAACGGGTGCAGAGGGAACCTAAGTCCCATAGAAACCGAGAGGATGTGGACGGCGATACACCCCTCGGGCGCCCTGGACAACACGTCGTCAGGACCTGGCTCCACCACTTCGGCCGAGGGCCCCACGTGCAGCTGAGTAACATACAGATCTGCCTTATCGGCTTTCGACTTAATCTCGAGGGCCTCGGTGTTCAACCAACTGTACCCCTCGGGCATGTCCACTGGCTTTCCTTGATCAACAGCCCTCTCCTTCTTTTTGGTAGCGGCCTTCGCCTTCTTCTTCTTCAACCCGGAGACCGCCCTCAAAGGTGTCGGATCTAGCGGCCTCGAGCTACTTGCTTCCCCAGAACCCGGGGGGGTGGGGGTGGGGGGGGTGGGGGTGGGGGGGTGGGGGGGGGGGGGGGAGAACAGCAACTGTAACCTTCATACTCTCATTTTGTGCCTCGTCCTCCGCTACTTGCCATGCGAGGGCTAGGTCTTCATCCTCACACTCTTGCTCGAAGCCCTCGGCTTCGACCTCAGCAATAAGTTCCTTCTGGGCCTCCAGGGCCAGGGCGGCATCACCACCAACAGAAGGCTCGCTCACGGACTCCGCATAAGAAACATGCTCCTCACCAACCGAAGGGTCCCTCGAAAGGTTTTGGGAATCACTCTCGGACGACATTTTTATCACGAAATGTGCCTAAGATTCCGAAAGCTTTCTACAGGCTCTAGCACCTAATCTAAGGCCACAGGACGAGACTTACTAAGAACTTTGAAGAAGGAGGGACTGACCTTTGAAAGCAGCGGATTCGAGCGAAGGCTTGAGTTTCTCTCTCTAGAAAGTTTGGCAGAGCTTCGCTAAGGATGTTGGATGCGTAAAGAAGGAATGACATTGGCTTGGGGTATTTATAGGCTCCCAGATCCGGGATTGGGCCGAGATCCGGGCCCCTAGCGGCCAAAGCCATCATTACGTACCGTCGTTTCACCCAACCGGTGACGCCCGCCCACGAGCAGCCAACGGCTACACTCCACGTGTCCTCCTCCTCCAACGGGCATATTCCAACGGCTACTTTCTGGGACCTGGGGGTACGCCCTCGGGTGAACACACCTTCAGCAACTAAAAGGCAGCCCCCGAGCTGTCTCCTTCACTTCAACAAAAGGGGACCCCCGGGCTCATAGCTGTGGGACCCCTCGGGGATTCACCCCTCAGCTCATTAATTTCCAGGCAGCCCCCGGGGAACGTCACTTCATCAACAAGCACCCCCGGCTACAAAACAAGTGTACCCCTCGGGGTCATCACTATTAAACTTCACACAAACGGATAGCCTCCGGCATACAAGCAACGGGACCCCTTGTGTACCCCCTTCATCAATTAATCAACAAGAAGGAAACTCCCTCTGTCCCCTGGACTGAGGGACCCCCCCTTCGGCATCTCAGCAACACGCTTTCGGCAAACAACACAAACGCCCTCGATCTTATGGATTGAGGGACTCTCCCTCGGCACCTCCCAGGATATCAACAAACGTGCCTTCGACAATGCAACAAACATGCCCTCAGACTATGAGAGCCTTCGGCATCAACATTTCGCTTCATTTCAGACCAAGGCTTTAACCTTTTTTATTCATCCTTGGGGGAATTCGGTGCACTCTTTTTCCCTCATTAGGATTTTTTTCCCACAGGGTTTTTCCTAATGAGGTTTTTAACGAGGCATCCCCCCAAAATGAAATGAAAAGCGTTGACCTTCGGCCACATACAGCAACGGATAATACTCTACTCCTTTTCACCACTTTACAAGTGCCTCAAGGAGTGGGGGACTGGAGAACCCCTCCGGGAAAATCACAAAAATACAAAAATATCAAAAACCCTTACAGATGGCAAAGCAATCCCTCAAGTCCCGACATGTGGGTAACTGAGGGACTGCCTTCGGCAGGGACACGCAAACAACAACTCCTCACCAAACTACAACGGAGCAACATCAAATGGCAGACACAGTTTACACCTTTTCCCTCAAGTACCTTTCGGCAAAAGGAGTGAGGGACTCCTGATGGAGTATATGGCCCGGGAACCCCTGGCCCACAGACTCCCACTACTCCAACAAAGGCCCAACAAGCCCAAGAAGCATTGCAGGCCCAAAATTATAACACCCCAAGCACAAATCAACCCTCAAGGCACACTGGGGTGCCCTCGGCCCCCTGACCGAGGGCTCCAAACTATCACAGCATGGATATTTCGAACAAACAGAGGAACTGGGAGAAAACGGCGAAAATAGTAGCCCTCGGCATCTGGAGCCCTCGGCATTAGGGGTGCCCTCGGGTTATGAAGCCTTCGGCCTGTCACTTTCAGCCGGAGGCACCTCAAACGACAAGATCTCTTCTCCACTTGCGCCTGAATCACCGTACCAAGTACCAACGTCCCTTCCAACAGCCGCATTAAATGCGGCCACATGCGGTTGCTAGCGCCAACCAGATGAGGTGACCTCTCGGCCAATGGACGCTTGACACGTGTCCCTGTCCGGCATTTATTGCTACTATAAATAACACCCCATTTCCCCATTTGTAACCACGCTGAAAACGCTCCACACTTATAATATACTTTCTCTCTCTATATTTACTTGCTCTGACTTCTCACTTGTTACTCCCCGTAGTAACCCCCCGGATAAGCTACCCCCCGGGTACACTATCCATCAATGCTATTGCTCTGGGGGGAACCTGAGACCTCCTCTTCTCCTGCGGACCAAGAAGATCAACATATGGTGATTCCCTCACTAAGGAACACAAAAGCCTTTCCACTGGTGATGAACATGAAGGTGTAGTGCTTACTGCTCTGGACAAGCAGTTTGCCAGGGTTCTCAGATGGAGGAAATGGAGACTAAGATCTCTTACAGATATCCTGAAGTCTTTTGGATACTATTCTGTTGAAGAGAAGGAAGTCTTCAACTGGACTAACACTAATGATGTATCAAAGTGCACATATATGGAGTTTCTGGAGTCTGTTCTAGCAGAGAAGAAAAGGAACGTCAAAGGCAATGCCCTCTGGTCATCCAACCAAATAGCAGATCATGATACAACAAATATCCCTCCCCTCTTTGAGAAAGAGATACTTGTCTTTGAAGCATGGTTGGTGTAGAAGACCATGAAGGATTCCCTTGACCCCAGCAATCACGCTAAAGGTGGAGAACCTTCTGATGTCAGAGCTGCCTTTGCTCAGCTTATTGTTGACTGGAGAAAGGATCAGAATGAAGAGATTGAGGTAATCATTCCTACACCCCCTCCTTCTCCTCAACCTCATGTACCCACTCCCCCTGCATCACCAGTTATCCCCACCCCTTCACCACCAAAAGACACAACACCAGTTCCTTCACCACAACAGAAAACCAAATCCAAATCACCTTCACAGAAAACCCTCATGCTCATCATCATCTAAACAATCCTCACCCCCACAGAAAGTCTCATCAAAACCCCCTACACTCTATGCTTCTGCCTCACAGTCTCTTCACAAACAAACCTCCCAATCTACCCAACAATCCACCCAAAAAGCTCCTTCACCAAAGAAAACCCCATCTCAGAAATCCTCCTCACCCAAGGAAATCCCATCCTCCCATAAACCTCCATCCAAACCTACCTCTCCCTGCAAACAGATCACCCCTCATCAATCCAGATCACCATCACCTCCACCTTCTCCTCTCGGCAACCCTCAAACTGAGCAAGGGAGTAATAGCTCCCATGATCCAACGACTGTCTCTGCAAATCCTGCACCAAAAGGCTACTCAAGGGATTCTGATGTCTCCCATCCTCCCTCGTATGAGCAGCACCTTGTCAACATAAAGGAGTTTCCAGGATACTCTTCTCTTGGTGACTCATCTGAATATGATGGGCACATATGTAAAGATGGATTTCTGTACAGCAATCCCAACTTTGCAATTTCTAAGAAACAGAGATCCCCATCAAAGCTTTGACAAAATTCCCACTCTTCTGCTAAAGAGCATGATCCGAAAAGACCTCAACTCCCACATTCCAGAAGGATCAACATGCTGGTCTATAACGAAGAAGTTCCCAATGAGGAATTTAGAGAATTCTTACAAGCTGCTAGAGGGTTTGCCATAGATGTCTAGACTGATCTCAAGTCTTTGAAAGACTCCTTGGCAGAAATTGCTCAAGAGTCATCTTTCAGAACAGCTGCTCTAGCCACTTCTGTAGAAGGTATACAGAAGACCTTGGCTTCTGTGCAAAACACAGTGGATGCTCAAGCCAAGGTTACTCATCCCTGGCCACTTTTGTTGCAACTCTCAAAACTTCTGACACAGGAAGAAAGGAGCAACATGACATAATAGAGGCCCTCTGTTCTGAGAGTAAGAGGAACGCTGAAGCCTCTAAAGCTGCTGATAAGGACAGATACAATAAGATGGTCCAGCTTGAAGTCAACACTAAGGACATTGCTCGAGATGTAGAGAAACAGAAAGGCTTGCAAGGCTCCCTCACTGAAATCACAAAAACTCTCCCTGATGTTGTTGACACTCTTGGTCAGACTCATGCCTCTGAGTTCAAGAAGATCTTCATCCTTCTCCAGGATCTCTATGATGCCAAAAAGGGGGAAGCAGAACCTCAACAGCTGCAACTGACCAGAACATCTACTCCAAATCCAACCTCTTATTTTGAGCAACATAGGCTGAAGAAGAAAGGAACTGCTGGCCCTTATGTACTTGTTCCAACCAAGAAGAGATGAGGTGGCTTCTCTCTTGAGTGGGCAACCCACAAACTGTCCAAGGAAGAGAGACTACAGTTTGAGCAAGTGAAAAAGAAGATGACCCCACTTCAACAGGAGAACCTCTATCTTGATAAGGACTGGTTTGTCCAAGTGGCTTCTGGTAGATCCTTAGCTGAAGCTATTGAGTGGTGGAACAGAGGAGTGGTTCCTGACAGAACACCACAAGAAGGTATCCTAAACTATCTTGACTGTAAGCTCTCCCCTGATTGGGCTAAGTATGCTACACCGAGAAACCTGCTCACCATAAGGAACAAGGTAATGAAATTGCTTGAGGAGTATGATGCAGTAGCAGAAGCAACAAAAGCTTCTTTTGAACAGGAAAATATGTAATAGAACTCCACTGTACTCTACCTAGCTCTTCTATTAGTAAAAGCTTTCTGCTGATTTCTTCTCATCATTTCTTCTCTAACCTTTTTTTGCTATGTAATATTTACTTTGATATTCTGTACAATCTTTGTTTATTCTTTCTAACTCTTACTGCTTTCTATGCAAGTTGCCCACCAAGAATGAAAAATTTGAAAGTTTTAACTTAATTATTTTATTGGTGAGAGGCACTTCTCTGAAAGTAGAATA